ATGATGAACAGGTATAATGTTGACTGTTTTTGCTTGACTGTAGCATTTTAACATGCTAACTTTACTATTAGCCTCGCTTAGCCTTAATATTTAAGCTTGTTCAAATATGGTAAATTTGGTAAATTCCCAAACTTAGTCTTATTTTTCTACGAAGCGCTTTGGCTCAAAGCTGTAGTTTTAAATATCCCCTATAAGAAACACCGACTTGATTTAACCTTCTCAAAAATGATGCAACTTATTTAAACTTATAACATAAACCAAGGAAAAGCAGCCACTCAATTATCAATCCGTTCAGTTTTTTTTTTTGTTTTTTTAATCATCTGTCTTAAGCAGCAACAAAACCACAGATACATGAAAGAATAGCAGCAAAACTGTATAATGTCTCTATGAAATCTGCACTCGTTATTGTTTAAAACGGGAGGCTCAGCCGAAGGAAGTCCCGACTTCTTACACACATAAACCCAAAACCAGATGGATTTGGGGGATTATAGTAACTGTATCTGAGATAAAACAAAAGTCTTGTTTTCTCCCAACTTCCTGAAAGGAAACGGAGAGTTTGGGTTTCAGCTGGGAGACCTAAAGCCTACACTGAGGGCACTGCTGGAATTTAAGGTTTTGTTTGTGTATATAAAAGTTAATGCTGGCTATAACTTGAAAAGACAAAAGGGTTTAGCGCGAGGATGAACATGAAAGCCGGCAGTGAGCTCCAGCGGGAGATAAGTGGGAAGTTCAGTCGAGGCTCCTCGATGCTATCTGAGTCAATGACACAAGTCTGTTTAGAGTGTTAATGTGCCGCAGACTTGTGCTCTCCGAAGCCTTCGTGCTTTTGATTTCGTTTGTTTAGCGCGTCTCCACAGCCTTGCCCGCCGCAACGGCAAACACAGGGAGGTTTGTTTAGGAGTCTCTCTGTTAGTCGATACGGAGCAGGTTTCAAGGTTACCCCGTGGTCCTGGTTCGTGAGGCCGACTGTCACCCATGTGTCCTCGCTGTGTGGCCCGCAGGCTGGTCGCTGTCGCCTGAAAAACACCCCTCCGCTCTGCACGGTGAGATTAAACCTGAGGGATTTGTACTTCTCACCGTCTGCCTGTCAGGAGCTGTGCGCAGAGTGACGAAGCATGTTGTGACGGCTGTCCTCGTGGTATCAGCTGGATGAATGGACGGCTGTTTAATCTGCGCCTGAAAAGGAGATTTGAGGACAGGGAAGAGAGAGGGCAATTAGAGGGGAGAGGGATTTAGGGTCACTGATGACTGTCACCTGTAGAGGGGCGAACATGTTTTCAGACACAGTGTGATGATGTTGTCTGGCAGTAAAATTTGAGGTGATTTGAGCGCGATCATGAGCAGCCGAACAGACAGAAGGAGGCGATGAAATTTTAATGAAGGGGATTGTATTATACTGTATGCGTTCCAGTCTTAAGCTGCTCCCCTGCGACATCCCAACACGACACGGAAACACTGTTTATCTGCATCTCACCCTGGATGTTCATTGACTGGGCTGTGAACTGTGGTCAGAGAGCTGTTAGACACAAACACTCCTGACAAACTTGTTTTTAAAGAGGTTTGTGAGTAGCAAGTTCCCACAGGCAGGATGAGCAGGAACGAGTTTAGGCTTTGTGTGGGATTAATATTTATCCTTAAGTAGCTAAAAAATTAACGCCCACTGATTACCCTTGGTTATTTTTACAATTATTAGTAAGAGGAAAATGGCGCTGGATGTATCACCAGCTATTTAGATAGTCGATTAGTTTGACCAGTTTTTTAAAGGAAATTCTCAAATTCATGCTGAATATTTTCTAGTTTCTTTCCTCCTTAATGCCATTAAATTGAATATCTTTGAGATGTGGACAAAACAACATGTTAAAGCATGTCATCTTGGACTTCAGGAATCAGTGATTGACATTTTTCACCACTTTCTAACATTTTATGGACCAAGCAACCCATCGATTATTTGAGAAAATAATCAACAGATTTACTACAATCATGGTGCTCAAATACCAACAAAATGTTCTGGCTTAATATCTCGATGTACAACGTTGAGGCTCTGTGTATTATCTGGCATCATATCCTCAAATTGGGATACTTCATACATGTTTAGTTGCAGTTTAAATACAAAATGTCAGAAGGTAGTGAAAAAAATCCAGATTGATTTAGTCTGATTCAATCCTCAAACCTCCTAACTGTTTGTTTGTCATCATAATCAAATCCACACATCTGGAAACAGCAAACTGATCGATCAATTAGTTGGCAGAAGCAGAATTAATTGATAAAAAATGTCCAACCAATCAGGCGTTACATGAAACAACAAAACAAATGGCAACAACAGCCTACAGCCACGCTAGCAGCTCTGTAAGGGTTTCGTTCGAGCTAAATGCTAACATTTGCATGCTAATGTGCTCACAGTGACAAGCTGATGATTAATTAGCAGGGAATGCTAATTAATTAGTAATTAGCTAAGTAATTAGCTAATGCTTCTCATTGACTACCATCGTGGTGCTCATACACCAACAATTTTTCTGCTCGAATGTTTGCTTTAGCTTGGTTTAGCATGCTAACATTAATTAGCTCCAGTTAGCATTTAATCTAGAGCTTCTCAGTGACAGTATTAGCATGCTGATGTTTAGCGGGTATGCCGGTGGTGTGGCTAAAAACGACAAACATTGACAGCTTCTCAAATGTGATCATTTACTGCTTTTAGTAACGACTGGAAACTGAATTTCTAACATTGATATTTTTGACTGGGGTCCTGGAATCATTTTTGCTATTTTCTGACATTTTATTAAACTGTTAAATAAAAGCATCCTGGCAGTATATTAATCACTAATGTGCTCGTAACCCTATTTGTTATATTTAATCTCTTCTACAAAGTCCTCACTGGTCAGAGGAATTGTCAGGCGGGGGAGATGGATGGAATTGAACCCGAGCGGTGTTACACAGCGGCCCTACCTTTCACCGCGAATGTGCTGTCACAAAGCGGCAGCGAGCTCGAGTCGAGAGCGACCAAGAGAGCTGAGCGGTATTATCACTAGTGGGGCTGAGCGCATGAATGTGTGGCTGCGGGAGCTTCTCCGCGACCGGGGGAGGAATCATCCTGACAGTCTGTGACTCGGCTCTTTTCGCCTGTCTGCCTCCCTGTGTGTCAGATCAGGGCCCGAGCTGGACGGGGCCTCTGGCTGTCCCCTGCCTGCTTCACCCCTGTCCAGAGCGGAGGGCCTGTCGCTTCCCATCTCCTCTCGCTTCACGGCGGTGGGACAGGCAGCGCTCTCTATACTGATTCCTGGGTGATGGCGATGAGCGCTGCGAATGATTTCACACTGCGCATGAGATGCTGACTGGGCTCCCCCAGCCTCTAATCGATTGACCCTCTTTTACAGTCCGTTGTGGCTTGTTAATTGGTCTCCAGCTCCCTGCTGACACAGTGACCCTAATGGAGGAGAATTACTGCTGTCTCGTCATGCATTAACCTCCCTCCTCCTCCTCCTCCTCCGCCCCCCTTTTCATCAGTGCTGCCTCCCTGTCAGGCCTAACCTCTGCTCCCATCCCCACCCCCTCAGCTCGCTCTGGTTTCACAGCAGCTGGGTAGACGGGGTGAAGTGCACATGCTCTCCCGTCCTGTCACATGTCCCCGACCGCCTCTGGGAGCCGCAGTCAGGTGACATTGCCAACTAAATTAAACCAGCAAAAGACAAACACTTACTGTTTGCACACTGTTGCCCCTTAATTAGGTTAGGCATAATTTAGGCATGGCCGGAGTGAGGAAAATCCTCTGCACGCGAGGTCAGCTGGAGCTTCAGGCTTTGTGAATTTTGAACAAAACAGGCTCCTGTGCATCTTTTGTTGTCTGTAGTTGAGGAATTATGTGCGGAAATATTCCGAGCACATATCGCAGGTTTGTAAAAATCCTAAGGTGACATCTTTAAATGTCACTTTTTTCCTGTCAGTGGGAGCACACGTGATTCAGAAACAGCCAGGAGGCTCCAGACAATCCTTAGCGCTGCTGACGTCTCAGGAGATCAGCCACCGATTGCCTTTTCTGTGTTTTTTTTAAGTAACCTTTGTGTGTCTGGATGTGTTTGCTGTGCAGCTGTGAGCCTCGATGCCGTGTAGCAGCTCACCCCTCGTGGCTGCTGCCTCCATTATTTACAAGTGTGAATATTTCATGATGACATCAGGGTTGGGACTCTGGGAGAGGGCTGCCCTAACGAGCCGTGGCACTCGCTCATTTGGCCCTACGACGGGTTGGAGAGTGCTCCTCCGTGGCGCCACAAAAACTGCACCGGGGGGGCCTGTAGTAAAACAAGAGTTCAAGTCTTGTTTGGGGGTTTGGAGAAAAGTGCGGAAAGGAACAAAAAACTTATCTCACTGTTGCACTAGCAGACCAGCAAATGGTCTGTTTTTAACCCGAGGAAGAGCCTCGAGCATAAAGGTGATGTTTTCTCTGGTTTGTTCAGACATAAACAGACACCTGTTTAAAAAGCATCTCGTTATTTAGGCTGTGATACGAGGGAAGAAAATTAATCACTATATGCCACGGGAGAAATGGTAAAAAGAGCTAATAAGGGGAGTCCACAATTATCCCTTTGTGTATTATAGATAAACAAACCCGGCTCCAATTTGTAGTTTTGTCTGCGGCAGTAGTATAAATCAGTGCAGACATATCCTCTGAGGGGAAGAAGATAGAAGAGTCAGTGTCTTTATAGTCAGCGGCTCACAGATCAGACTTCATTGTGCATGTGAGTGTGTGTTTGTAAGTCATCCAGTGTGATGAGTCAAAGAACTTCTCAGATTAAGAGTGCGTTTGAAGAGACAAAGTAAAACTCAAAGCAGTGCAGCGCTGCTGTCAAAGAAGAGCTTTTTAGCTCTGGCTGAGGGTCAGAGTCAGTAATCTCACTCAACGCAATTTCAAAATGACTGATTGTCCTTGTTGAGATGCTTCTGAACTTGTTTTGTCCCCAGTCGAATGATTCCAATCATAACAAATCTGTTGTTCTGTTTTCTTGCAGTGAGGGCGTCTTCAAGTGTCCAGAGGATCAGCTGCCGTTAGACTATGCCAAGGTACGACTAACACTCTGTCACAGCACACTTTGAGCCACACCTGAGGCCTGCGCTCAAAGCCAGTTCAACATATCCAGGATATCTCATTGTTATCTGGCTTCACTAAACCTAACAAATGCTGTTAAGCTGAGCAGTGAGTTTGAAAATATGATGCAGGCTTCAAACAAAACAGCTGTTGCAGCCAAAGGAAGGAAAGCTGGTGATAAGCTGCAAACTTTAAATGCATAACTCAATAGTCTTATCAACATCAGTGCCCCATTATTAAGACACATGTGGATCTGACAATAATTACAAGTGTTTAATTAGTTGATGTTTGCCATGTTGTGTCCACCTTAATTTAGCATGTTAGCAGGCTGATTTTAAGCACACGGTAAAGATCACTTTCTATTATTTAGCGTCGTAGCATGCTAACGCAAAGTACAGACTGTTGAGAATGTGTAGTCATCTGGTCATCGCCACAGTAAATATATATCACTAAAAACGTTAATATAGTCGAAATACCAGAACACTTAGTAGAACAGAATATATTAGTCATCCAGTGAGGAGCATGAAAAAAAGCAGAATGGGTTAAAACGTAACACAAAGTGTGATTTACATTTTTTTCATATTGGACAGAAATGAAAGAAAAATACTTGAATCCAGGTCTTGGAAAATATAAGTAAACCTGCGTGCACTGGTCCATCTAGGAAAAAATGTGAATCAGAGCAGAGCTAAGTGGCTGCATTTGATCTAGATACAGTTCAGTTAAAGGATGCAAATTGTCAGAAAAACAAAGGCAGCGGATTTCTGGAAAACACAAAGGCAGTAATCCTCGTCTTAACCCAAAGTCAGAGGTTGCATTTCATTTCATTACAGTGGATAAATTGTTAAAGCCACTATGTTTTTTTCCCCCTAAATAAATCTGTCCGCCCGTCCAGAAGAAGAAAGATATTTCAGCTGAACTCTAAATGCAGTTAATCAGATTGTGCTCAGGGGAGTGGGGGGGAGGCAGGGAGGGAGATAATGACTAACTGTATTCAGAGTCCGAGGATGTCGCTCTCGCACGTGATCCCTCAGTGCAAAGTGAGAGACTGCAACAGAAGGATAACGGACAAGAAAGAATCATCTCTTCTTTCTGTGCAGCTTTTGCCTTCTATTGCAAGCACATATGTGTATTTCTCTCATGCAGTTTGTTAGCTTTGGCCTGCTTCAGCCATTAAAATATAACGAGCAGCGGCCGGCTGCAGGGTCAGTCATTATAGACTTGTGGAGACCTTGTTCAAACATACAGAAAAAATAAAGGTTTGGACAAAGATGAGGCTCTGTAAACGCTTGCGTAATCGTCATATAGATTTAATGAAGCGTTAGAACAAGCCGGCGCTGACGGACAGCGAGGAGTAAGACGATTTTAACAACCTTAAAGCTACTTAAAGGGAAAGGAAAGGGGGGAAACGTGTACGTTCAGGGGTTAACCTCAGAGCTGCAGCAGGATCAGCAGGGCAGCAGTGCAGGTCTGCATGCTGTGCTGCGAGCGATGGAGGCGCCTGTAATAGCAGGGACTCCCCATGGGAAGGATGTGCTCATGGCACACCTGTCAGACGCTGTTATTTACCAAGGCTCCCAGTCGCCTGCAAATTACCCCATCCTGGTGGTCTCCTGTCAGGGTTATTGTAATGCTCGCAGCACAGTGTCCTTCGGAAAAACGTGCACAAACACAACCTTGCTCGCGCAGAACAACAGTGTTGCAGTCATTAAAGGATTGTGCTGCTGCGGCTGTAGCAGTACTATGAGGCCAACAATTGCTGCAGCAGACAGAATAAACCCCCAAGTTGGAGCTCCAAAGAGCTTAACCCCACTGATCTGCCTGGGACTAAGTTATTAAAAGGTCATTATTGCCGTCGCCCTGCAGATTCCAAGACTGGAACAATGAGAGAGTTTTTTTCAGTTTGCTTTAGAGGATTTTTTTTCTTCTTTGTTTCTCCTCAGAGAATGTGATTATGGCAGCGAAATACCATCTGCTGCGTCTGTATAAGTGGAGAGCAGCACTTTCCCTCACACCATTACAGCATATTTAGCAGACATACATTTATTTAGTCTGATAGGGCTTCTGTCTTCTAGCAAAGTGGCAACAAACCCTGAGTGAGATAAGTGGAGGAGTTGTATTGTAGATGATGGCTCCCGTGATTCTGTGCAGTCATTTGTTTGGAGGGCTGTTGTGACATTTTGAGGAAGTGCCTTTTCTTGTCTGACCAGTGCTCTGCTCGTGTGACAGCGTGGTGGGGGATGGAGATGCAGAGCAGAGCTGTAAATCCTCAGGACAGCGTACTGTAGGGAAGGATTTGGGGTGTTTGGGCAGAAAACTGACTCATCCTTATCGCTCAATGACCGAGGATAAATAAATCTTTTCCTCTGCTCCACGTCTCTCTCCCTCTGTCTCTCTCAAAGGTCCCATAAACCCATAAACTTAGTCATAATCACTGTAGAGGCAGACTCGACTCACTGTGCTGCGGTTTCATGAGGGCTTTTTCCTGTCGCTGAACATTTAGCTCTTTGGAAAATATGCTTATTTGCATTTCTTTCCATATTGGTTTTTTAGCTCTGCGTGACTGGAAACAGCTAAAACATCATTTTAAAGCAGTAATTGACTTATTTACATGATGTATCTGATGTATTGGAGGTGTTTCTTAACACAAGTATTCATATAAATCTATAAGAGGCTGTATTATTGACATCTGATATCACTCAGTCACCACCATACGGAAGCAGAGAATTGGAAACTAATATAATGTAATATAATAATACTATACTTCTCTGTGGAAGTTCATCAAATATTCCACCTGTCTGTGGCTAACGGCTCACAAATATAGAATTTCTTCTTTTAAAAATGATTAAATTCCTAGAACAGCTGGCTGCTGTAGTTTTTAGCAAACATTCCTCAAACAGGAACAAACGATGCATTTAATGGACTGTTTCTAGCTGCGGATTGATACACATTTTGTGCCGTAGTCGGTATTTACAGCAGCAGATCAGTGTACGTGGGCTTCATCAAATTAGCGACAGTGCCCATGTTTATTAAAAAACAATGAATGTGTCATTCAGTGGCTTTATTAGTTTTTAAATAGTTAGAAAAATGTGGGTTTTTGGTGCTGCAGTGAGCTAAATTAGACTCTGGCTGCACACTGGTGTTATTGGTTTTGTCTCTGTGATAATAAGAAAAATAACAAACATCACTGAGCTGATCCTTTAAACATTTCTTTATTTAGTAGAGTATTTATGTACTGCAATTCCCCAGTAGGGCTGGTTTAGCAGTGAAGCGTATTAAACCAGTTTGCAAATGCTGACAGCTACAGATGACCCTGTTATGCAGTCTCATGGGTGTTAAAGGAGAACAGTTTTAGGCTTCATAACTGCATTTTTCACATAATCTAATGCAGATCTGAAAAGACTTCAGCTTATCTGCCACTTTCCCTGTTTCTGCTGCACTGACCTCCTCCTGCTTCTCTTTCAGATCTACCCGGACCCTGAGCTGGAGCAGCAGATCCTGGCGCTGCCCATCCGCTGCATCCACAGCGAGGAGGGCTGCCGCTGGACCGGCCAGATGAAGCAGCTGCAGGTGAGAAGCCGTCGTGTCTCCTGTCGTACCTGTCGCCTCCCTCCTCTCGCCCCCCTCACCTGGCTCTGAGCCCGACGCGTGGGTGAGTCTTGACATTTCGTTGTGTCTCCCTCAGGGCCACTTTTCCACCTGCGCCTTCAACGTGATCCCCTGCCCCAATCGCTGCTCCGTCAAGCTGACGCGCCGCGACTTGCCCGACCACCTGCAGCACGACTGCCCCAAGCGCAAGGTGAAGTGTGAATTTTGTGGCAGCGAATTCACCGGTGAAGCCTACGAGGTAAACACTCCAAACCTGTTTCTTTTTCCTGCTACAACCCAGCGGGAGCTTGACGTAAACAAGCCGGTGTAACGACTCATGATTTCCGTGGTTATATGAAAGGCGTCTTTGAGAAAAAGCAGCAGGAAAATCTACTGCACACGCGTGTCAGCGCCTTCAGAGAGTGTTTTTAAAATGACACGTGTGCTGGCAGAAGGAAAGAACTTTTTGACTGCGTCTTTCATACTCACAGTGTTTTCCTCAGTGAGCGAGCTTAAGGTACCTCAGGCTCCTCACTAACACCTCTGTCATTCCTGCCAGCCTGCCCCTCCTCTGTTTACTCTGCTCTCCCCTCTGCACACACTAACAGCTGCATTAATCCACCTTTTCACATTATGTTTGTCTTGATTCATTCGTAAGAAGTCTGTTTGCTGAAACTGGCTTTGGGCTGGTTAGCTTGTGTGTGTGACTGAGTTTAACTTCCCAGCACTCTGACGATTCATTTATTCAAACCTGGATTAAATTTAAATTGTTTAAAGTCATTTAGGCCTTGAAATAACAAACCAAACTAAACACACTACATCATTTAACTCGGGTTAATGATTAATATGTAAATAAAACTCAAAAGGTCGAACATCCCGTGCTAGATACCTTTACATATAATCAGTAAATATATCATTACGAGATGTTTGAGCAGCAGTCGACAAAAATAATCTCACCTCAAGGCCCCTTTAGTAGCTAGAGAGCTCCAGAACAGCTATTAAATGGACCTTAAGGTGAGATTGTAAGATGCAGATGTGTTCTTTCCTTCTGTGTATATTCAGCAAAGCCCTGCTTGACAAACAGAGGCATCATTTTTTAAAATTAAAATGTAGTTTTGATAATCCTACGTAGCTGTAACATACATCAACTGCACTCAAATTGTTCTAAACTGTAAACTTGTGTTTCCCTGTCCATCCCAGAACCACCAGGGCGTGTGTCCTCAGGAGAGCGTTTACTGTGAGAACAAGTGTGGAGCGAGGATGATGCGTCGCCTGCTGTCCCAGCACAGCATGGCCGAGTGTCCCAAACGCACGCAGCCCTGCAAGTACTGCGGCAAGGAGTTCGTCTTCGACACAATCCAGGTCCGTTTATAATCAGCAGCTCTCATTTTCTCCCAGAAGTCCTTGTTATAAGTAAAAACAGCCCCGTTATATTCGGCATGATGACCGACGCTCGTCCTCCACAGTTTCCAGCCTCAGCAGAGCAGGACGGCGTGAAGAAAACCTGCCGTAGCTGTAGGATGTTTCTGTTCATGGTGTCTCTGTCTTGTGGCAGCTGGATGTGAGAGTGAGCTGCTGTTTAGCTGTCTGGGATTTTATATGAAGGCACCTGCTGCTGCACACATCTGGCCAGAGGCTGAGCAGTCAGTGTCGCCCTCCCCTCCCCCATAGTTTGAATCAAGATGTAATAACCCAACCTCGGTCACGGCACAAACAGCAGCTGCAGAGCTTCTCTTACAGTTGCTCCTTGTACGATGTTTCTTAACATGTAGCTGGGTTTATTCAGCCTTTGTGGCCATTTTTTCAAAAACTACTGTAAATTTTTTCATATTTGGATAACTATTTAAGTAATTTTTCAAGCGAAAATGCAAAAGAATTGCTGTTTTCAAGTCCTCAAGTATGAAGAACATCTGCTTTCCCGTGTTACTTTTAGGTTTTATGCTGTCCCATGAACAAAATAGTACATTTTTAATACATAATCTATTGATTTATTAAGAAAAGAAAAGAAAAACAAACATTGTGCTGTCTGTAAAACCTCAAAAATGGATAAAAATGCCCAACACAATTTCCCAGACTCCTGGTGACCTCTTAAAATAGCTACGTTTGTTCAGACTGTGGCCAACAACCGAAGATTTTCATTTTACTATAAGACAAAAATAAGCTACAAACCCTTCCATTTGAGAGGCAACAATGATTAGAAATGACTTCTTTTCTCTGGCTTCAGGACACACAATTATTTGTCATTTATTTTTCTGGTCTATTTCTGCAGCCTCATTTTTTTTAAACCTGCATGTTTTGAACTTTCAAGGACGTTTTTCCCAGTACGGCCATTAATTTGCAGCCCCGCTGTTTGGTCTGTGCTCTTATCACTCGTGCTCTTCTCCACAGAACCACCAGTACCACTGCCCTCGCTTCCCTGTCCAGTGCCCAAACCAGTGCGGCACGCCCAACATCGCCCGAGAGGACCTGGCCAACCACGTGAAGGACAACTGTGGCAGCGCTCTCGTTCTCTGTCCCTTCAAAGACGCCGGCTGCAAACACAGGGTACGACTGACCTGCATTATTAAACAATAAAGGATCATTTCTGCTTCTGAAGGAGTTTACTTGTTGACTACAGATCATTTGCCAAGTTTGTTCGTCTTTGTGGTTCAAACTGTTTATTTATTTAATCATACCGTCTCCTCGTCCTTGGTCCTTGGTCACTCTGTCCAAACTTGTGATTTCCCTCTCTTCAGCGTACAGTGTCGTGTCTGTAGGGCCTGTTTTAATGAGAGCAACACTTCTACATTCCCACAGCACATTTCTGTCTATTTTTAAAGCTCGCATCAATTTGTGGAAATGCGGACACGCTCGAGGAAGAGCAACAGATGAGCATCAAACTCTGTGCTGTCTGTCGGCTCGGCGCTCTGTTCAGACTTACAGAGCGTCTGAGAAGCTTGATGTGTAGTATTTACAGATGGCCTCATGGAAAGCAAAAACATGTTTCAACAACAGCAGTGACGATTCATTTTAACAGTCCAGGTGTCCACATATTCATCACCTTCAGTGTTGATTATTTAAATACTGACTGAGGTGCATGTATGAGCTAAAACATTCATATGTGGACAGTTTTTCAACGCCTGAATTTCTCTTTTTTCATAGATCCTTCAAAACAACTTTATTTTCATCTGTACTTTTACTAACAGCATGCGCAACCATGTTTTGAAACTATGCTATAAGTTCAAACTAATGGTTTTGTTTGTTTTGTTTTTTTAATCAATTTTCTAAATTTCTATCAGAAAACCCAAAAACTCCAAAGTTGTATGGACCTACTGTTCCCTTTTATTTGAGGATGGGTTCAAATACAGATCATGTTGGGTTTTTTGTTTTTTTTTCTTTTGGTTCATCAAGGTTGTTTTTGTTTTGTTGGGAGCTAAATGAAGTAAAAAATGGTAGTCGAAAACAGTTTTAACACCAAAATGAAGCAATATAGATGTGAAAGGGTGTAAATCCTAATTCAGAAAGTTTTTTGGAATATTCAGTTTGTATCTTTGTGTTACTTCATACAACAAATCTGTATGTGTAGCACATCTTCGTCCTCACCCACTGTGCAGAATCTTACCTAATTTATCTCGGCTGCTCTCTGCAGTGCCCCAAACTGGCCATCGGCCGCCACCTGGAAGACACCACCAAGTCCCACCTGACTATGATGTGTAACCTGGTGGGTCGCCAGCGGCAGGAGATCCTGGAGCTGCGGAGGGAGATGGAGGAGCTGTCCGTCAGCCACGACGGCGTCCTCATCTGGAAGCTCAGCGACTACTCCCGCAAGCTCCAGGAGGCCAAACTCCGAAGCAACCACGAGTTCTTCAGCCCGCCCTTCTACACTCACCGCTACGGCTACAAGCTGCAGGTGTCGGCCTTCCTGAACGGCAACGGCAGCGGCGAAGGCTCCCACCTGTCCGTCTACATCCGCGTGCTGCCCGGCGAGTACGACAACCTGCTGGAATGGCCCTTCTCCTACAAGGTGACCTTCTCCATCCTGGACCAGAGCGACCCGTCGCTTTCCAAACCGCAGCACATCACGGAGACCTTCAACCCCGACCCCAACTGGAAGAACTTCCAGAAGCCCTGCAGCAGCCGCAACTCGCTGGACGAGAGCACCCTGGGCTTCGGCTACCCCAAGTTCATCTCGCACGAGGAGATCAAGAAGAGGAACTACATCCGAGACAACTGCATCTTCATCAAGGCTTCTATAGAGATTCCCCAGAAGATAATGGCTTAAGATCCGACCTTTGTTTTGTGTTTATGAAGGAGACAGATGGGTTAAAGACTGGAACTGAAAACTTAACCTTGAAAACTTCGACACACTTACCCTTTAGATATTTTCTGCCCTTACAGCCTCTCCACCATGGAGCTTGAAGTGAGTCTGTTTGGCAGTGCGAGCTGACTCGGAGGACCTTGATGCATCACAGAGGAGAAAGTGTTTGGTCTGCAGAACCATCACTCTCTGGTGTTTCTTTTTATTAATTTTTTCTATCTGTTTGTTGACCTTTTATCACAGTCTACAACAAAAAGCCTTTGAAATCAAACAGTGCCTAGAGAGTTTATCTTAAGTTATACTTTTGTTGTTGTTTCCGCAGTACAGATGTTAAAGATTATGGAAAAGATATAAAAAATAGGGGTGAAGGGCTTCACTAAGCCGCTGCACTTAGAGTAGAGGGAAAGAAAGTTAGAAGCTGTTCGGAGACGTCCCGCTTTATCTGGGGTGATCTAAAGAAGAGGGAGCTCAGCAGACTCAAGCTCAAGCCCGACTGCCTTTTGTTTACATGCTCATACAGTATACTGATCCCTGAACAAACACACAATCCCCAGTAAGACCCACACGTGAGGTTTGTGTACACAACAACAAACAAATCAGTGTTTACAGGTGAGAAACTAGCAGCTCAAATATTGGTCATTTTCATGTTTTAATGGAAGAGATTGATTTTTGTTGAGAGAATAACCCACCCTGGTTTTACCAAATATGAAACTACAGTGAACTGTTTGTTAGCTTAGCTTAGCATAAAGGTAGCAGAATCCTCCAAGCAGTAGCTGTAAAGCTCATTAAATAATCATTATACATGTTTGTATTTTACTGGTTCAATCGATACAAAAATCCTCGAACAGAGCCATGCCAGCTGTTTCCTTTGGTTTCCAGTTTCTATGCTACGCTAACTAGCTACTAGGTGTAGCTTTAAACGAATCTGCAAGATGTGAAAGTGCTATAGTGGTAAGTCCGATAACTTATTGACTTTTAAAACCACAGAAATCTGTCACGCTAAACCAAGGCTGCTTTTTCAAAAAAAGTTTTTCACCTGCCAACATTGAAGTTACGTGTTACGTTACGTTATGTGTGTGTGTTTGTCGGTAGGTTAACCTGGTGGTAAATTAGCTTCGGGAGCGCTGCGATGTACCAAACACACTTCATAGTGACCCTAAGAGGCTTCATATCTACTGTGGAGTCCACCAATAAGTTCAAATAAAGCACCTTTTGTTGGTCTTCGGATGAGCAGAGCAGACAAAGAGGCCAGTTGTCGGAGGAAACGTGCATTTAATAGTGAAGGAAAAGCCATGTGGCCTTTTTATAACAGTATGTCTTCGCATGAGGGTTTTAGGGGAGAGCAGGGCAACATAAACACATGCATGCTTCATGTTCTACCACCTGGATCACATTTTTTTGTACTGTAACCTGTATTCTTGAAATCCTCTCCCGTTGATGGCTGTTTTTGTCCTTTTTTTTTGTCTTTTTTTTTTTTGGACCATTTGAAAGTTGACAAATTGTCATAAGAATTTTTTTTTTTTTTAAGTTTTGTTTTTCTATACAGAAAATGTGAACGCTGTCGGTAATCTAACCTATAAAGACAATGAACACTTGGCTGTGAAGTGTATTACGTAGCCTGGGCCTGGATGGAGGGTGCACGGAGGCCGTTTGGAAAAGATGGTTTAATGACACATATGTGGGTGTCTCGGGACTGACTGCACACTTGTTACCATGGTCACCGGTGTCTATCTTCAGCTCGACACACAAAGCGGCGACGAGGAGCAGCCCAACGCTACACACCTGTCTCCATCGCAGCACCATCGGAGGGGCGGAGGACTTTGATGATACAGTACGCTCATGATGTATGTGAATACTAATGTAAAAATGCAGAAGCACATTCTGTCTTTTTATTATTATACATGGAAAAACTCCTGATTTCCTGTCATAATACCAGCTGATATTTTACAGTGATTTAAAGAAACGAGAAGATTAAAAAAAAAAAAAAACAAAAAAAAAACTTTTTTGTAAGATTCTGTATTTTTAAAAATACTTAGCTGTTTTATACAAAAAAAAAATCACTTTTCGTTGGAGAGTCGGGGTTGACTTTGGGAATTTTCAGACCCTTTCGTCTCTTGGACATTTGGATAATTTGTTTGTCCGTGTGGTTTGAGCCTCACATATTCTGTCTGTATTATTTCCTCTTAAAAGTATTTATTTTAAGGAGCCGTCATGTGAGTTTGCACAGACGGCGCAAATGTTTTAATATGTTGATTGATGAGTGCTTGTCAATTTCTTAACTGAAATAAAATACCATATATTATAGTCGTTTTACCTGTTGGCGGTTTGTGCGGCACCAACTCTGAAGAAGCAAACTGTTGATCACTTTTACTCACTTAAATAAATCCTTCCTCCTCCATCTGATAGGATTCGTATCGTCATAGCAGCAGTTTTATGTTTGTAAAAGCGACAGTTAAAACAATTTAAAAGGATAAACAATGTGGGTAAATGGCATCTAATAAGAACAGCTAACAATCAAGAAAAAAGGTGTAGTGATCCTTTAAATAATATCAAAATACATCCTGGAATGAGCTGTCAAAAGGCAAACAATTCTGTTATCTTTTTAAGAACTTTGTTTTAATTGTCAACTCTGGTTTGCACTTTAAAAAACACTTTACGTCTGATGAGGCATCGTGTCCATTAAGTGCTTGTTGTTTGATGCATAATACATGACTCAGCAGGATCTGATAACATCATGCTGTAGTCTTGTGTGTATTAAAGCTGTACTAAAGCAGTTTACTGATGCACTTCTGGGAAGTTTTGGATCTTTTGAGAGACACCTTTACAAAAAACAAAAGTGAAAATCTGCTTCTTTGTCCCCTCTGTTAGCTCGACAGTGGAAAACCAACAAAGACTGAGGTGGATAGTGTTTGCTTTTCAATCCTGTTCATCCGTTTAGTCACCTAATAGATAGAAAATGGAGCAGAATTAGTGCCTTGCATTTGCATTAAGTTGTAGTTCATGTCCAGACTTGACCTCTGACCTTTTGGCTACAAAACATTATCACTTCATCCTTTTATCAAACTAGGCATTTGTGTGAAGTTGTGTCATCCTGAGCGTGTAAATTGTTGGGTTGTGGCCAAAGACATGCATCATGAGATCATAGTTTCCTTCGCTGAAAAAATCGAATGGGTCCAAGGGTGTGATGGACCAGCAGTGATGTTACCTAACCATGTGTAAATCCTGGATGCGGCTCGGCCTCGGTGATTTTAAAGTGGCTTGTCTACTAATAGCAAGGTTGCCGGATCAATCCCTGGAGCCCAAGTGTGTCCCTGGACAAAACACTGAGCTCCAAGTTGTTCACGAGTTAAAGGGTGAACGAGAAACACACTATAAAGCGTTTTGTAGAAGACGAATATAAGTGCAGACCGTCTACCATTTAGTACGATTTTGTACTTTAAACAGTTCCCCTGACTTGGACACTGACCACCGGTTCATTTAAAATGTGCATGTGCTTAAAACACCAGCTGAATTATTGATGAAATATATTATCTTTATTAATATTTAATGACGGTAAAAGGCTATAAAGCTCATCTCTGCGTTCACATTTAGCGTACTCTCCATCTGTCCTGTTTCATCTGGTCTTAAAAGTTTAAACCTGGCTGCAATCAGAGGGCTTGTTTCTTGGCATCGCTACTTTACAGAAAAAAAAAAAAAACTCTACTCAGTTTTCTGTTTTACTGGAGCAAACCGTGGCTGACCTCCACTCCAAACCGAGCCACTCCTTCTATTCTGGATGTGATTTCTCTCCCTCTGCACCCACCCAGCGATGTAGGTCAGGGGTCAGCGTAGTTTCTCTCCCGTATTTCTTTAGGTTTTAAACGCTGCTGGAGATGGAGGGAAGCGAAGGAGCAGAGGAACGAGGGCGGAGGAAGTGCGGCAGACACCAGCCCCGCTTTGAAGCCGTGCCAGGAGTTTGCATTAGCTCGCAGTTTGGATGATGTTCAGTGCAGCGGGATTTAGGGAAGAGGAAAATGAGCTTTTAACGTCAAAGTCACTGAGCGGGTCCCCCAGGGAGGACGGCCGCCGCTCTCCACGTTCTATACAATAGCTGGCAAACGCCTCCACCAAACCTATAATCTCCACATTTTTCTCTCTTAAAAAGGAAAACAACATCTGTTTTAGGAACTCAGAATGACTTTTTCTTTGCTTCTCTGCCTTTTGAGGATATTGTAGATATCCTTGGAAACTAAAAAACAACTTCTGAGTGAGCTTCTCCATCTAGGTTTGTAAGTGAGAGGGGTCGTTCGTTTCAGGGAGGAGGGCCACTCCTTAACAATACAGAAAGTTAATAGATAGAAGGGTCTAAAAAATCAACAGCCGTATGACAGTCTCAGACTTTCCTGGCAAAAGCTGCACAACCAGCAGCCCTGTGCAGCTTCAGAATCAAAATAGTAGCTGCTAATTACACGTTAGAGCGCTCCATGTTTCCCATGAAGAGCCGAGTCACGTGCAGCTCAGCGTACAGCGCTGCCCTTTGGCTTTCCTCGAGCTCAAATCGCCCTTGGCTCACTCCGTAAATGATTTCTAGGTGCAGTCACGTTCTCATTCACATCGATGTCGTTCCCGCCCGGTGAGCTCAGCAAACCTTTGGTCAACATATGTTAAAAGCGAGATGCCAGCTGGGTTAAAGGAGGAGGAGGTGGTGGTGAAGGCGGGGAAGAGCCCAGCCCATGAGGCTTTCCTCTCCCTTAAAAAAACAACACATCAAAGCTCAGCTGCGGTTTGTGAAGCGGTGCCATGCTGTCGTGCCTCGTACCGAAGTTAAACAATCGAAGCCTCACAGCGCAGGAACCGAGTCGGGGTGGTGCAGGAGTGGGATGGTGTCCTACAGCAGCCGACAAACTCACAGGAGGAGTAAACATCTGAGGCGCTCAGCAGGAGTTTCCTCATGAGTCGGACAAACCGTCTGACAAGGAGCTCAGTGTCTGAGCAGGAGGGTTCCTGAACTGGAAAAAGGAGTTTGACAAATAATCTTGAGTTGCTCATCCACTTAAGAAGACTAATGTGGTATTAAAACAGCCAAAAAAAGGACGATGAGTTTACCTTAGGTTTAAGATTTTCATCATTTGTGGGTCAATCTAGACGCTACAATAATATTGTAGCGTCTGAACCTTAATGTTTAACTTCAGCAAATAATTGTGTTCAAACTTGTTGGCTAAATTTGTTGTGGCAGTTTATTTTCTCTACTGTAGAGCACCATGACTTGTTGCTTTCCTGACATAATGTGTTTTGCATTTTTGTGTCTCTTTTCGTCTTCCTCTAACTTTATCTTTGGTAATTTGTGTTGTCTGTCAAAGCACTTCGTAAACCTGTGTTTTTAAAATTGCTATATAAATATATTTAGTTACAGCACTGTTGTCTCGCAGCAAGAACGTCGCCGGTTGTGCCAATTGTGTGTTATCGTTTGGTACTGACTTTCTGGAACATTCTGCTCTGGAAGCAGGCTAATTAGCTGTTTAGCTGGATGTGCTAACGACTGTAGCTCATGTTAGCGGACCTGCTAGCGTACAGTGAACATTTTGTTACAACCTTTTCTCTCGTGTCTTTAGTTTTGACAAGTGTTAAGAGGACACCACAAAACATTCGTACAGTATGTCATAGTTCTGAATGAATTTGAACGTTTACAGATCCAACATACTCCAAGGGTCGATTTTAAACTTCCTGACAATCCTGAGCTAACGTGTGTGGCTTTATGAGGAAAATTCACCTAATCAGAACTTAAAATTGTGATATTTCATCAGCATCTCTTTATTCCATGCCTCATTTAGAAATGGGCAAAAATAAAACTTCTGTATTAACCATCCATCCATCCATTATCTATACACCGCTTAATCCTCACTAGGGTCACAGGGGGCTGGAGTCTATCCCAGCCGATTTAGGGTGAAGGCAGGGGACACCCTGGACAGGTCACCAGTCCATCACAGGGCTACACTTAGAGACAGATAACCAAGTACACTCACATTCACACCTGCGGACAATTTAGAATCACCAATTAACTTCAACATGTTTTTGGACTGTGTGGGAGGAAGCCGGAGAACCCGGAGAGAACCCACACTGCACGGGGAGAACATGCAAACTCCACGCAGAAAGATTCCGGTGCCCCCCACCGGGACGCAAACCGGCGACCTTCTTGCTGCCACCCTGCAGCCCCTGCATTAACCAAATTCTGTAAAAAACTAAAATAAAATACTGGAGTCCTCAGCACCACCGTGAAGCCATTAGTGACTGAAGTGTGACCAACAGTTAAGTGATGAACATTCAGAGACTTCTGGCTGAACTGCAGACAGTGTTTACACCGAGCAGACGGGAGACACGTACGGACATGAATAAAAAATGTAAGTAGTAAAACTTCTGTAGTATTTTCAGTGTCGGCAACACCTGTGAGCACTTGGAAACATGTTGTCCAAGTTTTCTCAGTTCTTGTGAAACGAATACATGAAACAAATTTTTTTGGCGTTATAAGTGTCATCGTGACGTTTTTGAGTTTTCTCTTTTCTACTCCAGAGATGTTTGTGCTGTTTCCACACAGATGCAGGAGTTTATATTGGAGGGAAAAATGAGGCCACAGTGAAGAGTTCAGCGGGTTAACCAGATAACTGTGGGCCGGGTTACCGACTCAAAATAACAAAATAGTTGATTTACTGAGTATAACCTAAAAAAAATGTTCATATCACACTCAGCTCTCCAGCTGTTTGTTTGACCTTGTGGCACGTTCCTTCTGTCATTATCTGCAATATAATCTTGTGTTACTCAGAGGCGGCTCCACCCCGCCGAACCCTCAGTGAGTCACCGATATAATCCCACTTATCTTTAACAAACACCTGCAAAGGTGCGAAACCGTGACATGAGCCGAGTACATAGCGAACACATATCTCATACGCAAACCATAAAAAAAAGAAAAACATCTGACATACTGAGCTGGGACTCTGATCACATATGAGTCATCTAATTTAATGAGAGGTCGGCATGACGCTCTCGCCGCGCATCCGCTGCCGCTCTGGACTCTATTTTTAAGTGCGGCTTAATGTCCGAATCAAATTAGCAGCTTGTAAGACTGTAGATGTTGAGATCCTGAAGTTTCTCCATAAAAATCAAAGTGTGTCCAGCTGCTTCTTGGTTTATCGGTGTGGGTGACTTATCGGACTGCTCTGATAAGGTTGGGCTGATTATGACCAGCTGGATGTTTTATTACGGCCAAGGAGGAAGACGGATCGCCTCTCCTGCATATTGATTTATGCGTTCCCTCTGATGTATTTCCATCC